ATCGTTTGGTTGATATCATTCCCTGTTCTTTGGTAGTAGAATGATATCAATGTTGAGCGCCTGATCTTTACCTTTTGTTCCTATTGAGCCGCTTAGTCGATACTTTTACCTATTTATAGGGACGTGCAGGTGCATGGCTGCACATTCTGGCAGAACTTTGCAGAAAATACTCCAAGATGTATCAAAAACACCCCAACCTATCATCCTTCCCAACTTTCGTCAGGAGGAGTGTAACCTGTCGTTTGATTTTGATATTTTCTACCCTTTTAAATATAAGTGGAGTTTTTTTTTNNTTTTTTTTTTCAAAAAATTCAAAGTCCACCGGTAAAGTTTCCTTGGGAATTCACTTTCTCTGAAAAGTATTTCTGCAAAAAAACGATTCCACATGGGTCAGTACCTGTGCATATTCAAAGACAAGCAGATATTTGGTGCTCGTCTTGTAAGCATCGACAAGACGGCAGATATTCGGATGGCAGCACATCTGAAGGATTTCCACCTCGTTTTCGATGAAAAACCATTTCCCACGAAGCTGTTGCTTTTCGATTTCCTTAAAACGAGTATTCAAAGGAGTTTTTATCTTTTTCAGACTCAGTTTGGATTTTCTTCTTCTCCCTAGCTTTAATCCCGCGCCGTCACAGGGTCCGCCGAGTTTGGGTCATTATCAGTTATTATCATTTTATCAGCCAACTTCTATGACAGGTGAATTCTAACTTCATACAAGCATCATTCGCGAAGGATGCGTTCAATCGTAGCTAATACTTTGTTTATTGAAAAGTAAGATAATCGCCAGTCAACAAATAGCCGTCCAACTAATGAAGTATAGCTTAGTGTAAACGAAAACAGGGGATGAGGATGAGCTAAATAAGGTAACAAAATCAATAAGGTTGATATATTTTAGATATAAACAACTGAACTGTAGCTGTCTCCCTGGTATAGCCCTAGTCACACTAAATCACTTAACAATGGAAGTCCTTGTAAGCACAGTTCTCGATGAGAACCTGATACGAATCTATGGATCAATCTAATCTATGGGGCAAGCGGCGCACTATCACACACGCACAGTCAGGGGTTCGAATCCTGGATCGATATCAGCTGAGACCAACCAAGCGCTCCACCTCCCTTAGTCGATTAATTGGTACCAGCTCGTCTGAGGGAATAAAAGCACTGACTTGTCCATCGGCTGGTCACCGCAATTCATTGTATAGGCCACATGAACATTCGATACTACGATTCTGAATGGAAGTCGAATGCGGGGCGCATCCTGCAGAGGGGTTGATTATCGCCGAAATACCATGTCCTCGTATTGTATCTATCAGGTAGAATAGCGGTCGAGAAGACCGCAGTAAGGGCGAAGTACGGAACGTCTATTGCTGCTCAATACTCTCAATAAGGGACGTCTTTTGACTGTTTTGTGAAGGATGATATTATCCGAAATAGAGCACGTTTGCCGAAGGTTTCCTAGAAGATTCATGCCAGTAACTAATACACGTTGGCCTTCAGTTTTATTTGCTCAAACACCTCTTGGTCTCTTTGTTCAAAACCTTGCTCAGCCTTGAAAATGATATGTTCAAAGAGTTCTTATACCCTGATATTTCTCACACTCTTTGAAACCGCTATAACACTCCGCATCAAAACTTGGCCCTCGTAACCTACTAAAAGTACTCGAAAATATATGACGCTCCTGAGTTCCGCATTCAGTTGTACTTCAGTGCTTTTCTTCCCATGTAGTCAGCCAATTCTTTTTTGCCTTTGGTGGAGTGGTCAACCGGGGATAAATAGTTAATGGGTTCCTATTGTGTACGCATGAAAAGGTTGTCGACAATGGCCAGCAAAAGCGACCAGCAAAAAGGCCTACGTCCATGTCCACTACTAACTAAAACGCTTACGCTTGATGGAACAGCTTCAGCAGAGACCGTTGAGTGAACTTAGGTCCACGCATATCCACATCAAGCCCTATGTGATTCTTGCAAATGTCTCTGAGCTATTATTAGATTGACAGGACAGGAGCTTCGAGAAGCAAAAACGTTCATAGAAACAGAACGAGTAATGTAAAAAATTTGGCAGTTTTTCAGGACATTCTCGAACCTATTAATGCGTAAGTAAGTGAAGGCTAGTGCGGAGCTTATTCGAATTTCATTAAAAATGAATCGGCAAGTGCATGTTTTGAGAAAAAAAAAGATTTAAAGCTAGGAAAATGCACTACGAGGGTTCCAGAACCAACTGTTATCAATATCAGTCGCAGGTCTCTCGAAAACTTCGGCGGTCTGCAGTTTGTTGCAGTTTGATTATTGGAATATTTGTTTGAAAAACAAATATATATGAAATGAAAATATCAAATTCGAACGAAATTTCAGTAATTTCAATAGTCCCGTCTAGAAGTAGCAATGGCTACGCCGTGAATTAGTGTGCCATACCACAAATTGTTGAAATTATGCAGAGATTCCTGGTCGAAAAGGATTGGGAATATCTAAATCTCAAAAGTGAAAAGGAAGAATGAATGATAGGAAATCAAGTTCTTCGACTTTGATTGATCGCGTTTCTGGTATGAGCCCCGCATCAATCTCCCATTCAGAATCTTTGTGGATTATTGAACGCCTATGTGGTCTATACAATGATATACGGCGGCTAGCCAATGTTCATACCAGGGCTTCTCTCTTCCCAGACGACTCGTTATCAATTGAGTGGCTCAAGAGGAAAGAAGGGACTGATTGACCTATTTGAGTATTCATCTGGGATTTGATTGCCGGGCCGTGGGTGAGTGGTAGTACGTCACTTGCCACCTTCGCTAGGAACGAATTCCATCAATTCCATCAATTCTGATATCCATCGGTTGCTCAAACTTTCCCATTCAGCATTCGGTATCTCTCGAGAGTGTGCTCAGATACAACTTGAAATTAGTCCTGAGAGAGAGCTGATAGAATTTTTGCATCCTGCAGATTTTTGTCTCTCAAGCAGTCTCGCATCACCTTATTCCCTTGAAAAGGATGCAAAGATCATTTATGCTGTCCAAAATAGTCAACAGATTCTGCCCCACATACCGCAGCTGAGGTGAGCGACCAGTTGCCGTTACCCCAACATTGATATTTTTGTGTTATAAATACCAATAGTGGCTCACCTTTAATGCGCACAGTTTCTCGTCTTTTCGCCTTTGTGCAAAGAAAACTCGAGAGAAATTTCCCTGTCCGATAACATTTCCGATTTCATAGTATCTCTCCAAGCAGCTCCTTGATTCCACCTCACGAATGTTCTCGGAAGTCTGAAAGAAAACAAGGAAATAATTGAGTTGCACCAACACTCGGACTGCAATTAGAAATTAGCATCAGTTTTGATTGACGTAAACTTCTAAGCCAATAAACTCGAATTGGGCTTTTAGATTAAGATTCTCAGGTGTCCAAACCTTCCTCGATTGCCCCGGCAAAGAGAACCGCGCCATGCCTCCCTATATCTCCCTTATTGCCCTATGAAAACGCATTGAAGAGCTCACTCCATTGAAAGCAGATTTTCAAAATTTTGGAGAAAAAAGGATGAAAGGAAGTGATTGCAGAACAAATTGGAAATCCCAATTGTCTCTCTTCCATCCTAAGTGAATAAGGGTAAAGCTTGGCGGATCCCAAAATGGTACCTTAACGTTAAACGTTGTCTTTACCAGAAAAAAATCTAAGTTTAAAAAAAAATGGATCGGAGTTTTAGATGAACTCTGCTCACGGTTGATGACTCTTTCTTTTCTTGAAGTGTTGATGTTAATTTTTGATCGTTTTTTTTAACTAAATTATGAAGTGAATCAGTATTTAAAACCTCTTCTTCGAACTCTTTTGCCTTTACCCACACAAATCTTCAAGGTCGATGCTCGGCCAAACATATAAGTGTCAACTATACGAATAGTGAAGTGTTCGGGAGTTTTGCCTAGTCACCGTGCACTCTCATTCTCCTTCTGCATCCCTGGTCCAACTGCTGGGCACTTCCGGTACGGAGGACCACAAATAGAACCGGAAGTCGAGGAAATCGTGCCAGCCTGTGAAGGTCGTTTTGTGGCGATAGTCAGATGGAGGAAAAAAGTGCACATTAAAGAGTCTCCGGTAAATTCCAGAAGAACTGATATTGTTGCGGGAGGGTCATCACCCACATTGATCCCTAAAAAGTTCAGCACTTGGTCAGATCTTTTCCATATTGCAGAAGTTGATAATTTTTGATACTGCGATGTAATAAATGATACTATCGTGTAACGCTGGAATCAGGTATATATGCGGGACCAGAACTGCTAATTTGGCCACTTTGAATTTTGAATACAACCGTGAAAGGGAATGAGTTTAGGGTGTGGGCAACCTACCCAACTATGTCAGATATATAAGGAAGAGAGGGTAAGGCCTGTGCAGCAAAAAAATTCCTTGATACATGCGATGTTGGCTTCACCATTAGTTACCCATTTCTTACGGCATGTGGGAGGAGATAATTAAGTTTATAGGCCCATTAAGGCGATGCGACGATTTCCTTTATGGAAGTTTTCTGCGGGAACCCCATGAAAGTAGTACCATTGCAAGTTTTCGACTACCTGAGTTGGTCGTAAACAGCCCGGAAGCGGTACTTGCTCCTGTTCAAGCACCCCAGAGAACTTCTTCTCATTCCCCTACACTGTTTCTATTAGGATTTCTTTTCTTTCCCAGGCGTTCGAGGGAGTTTGCGACCTCATTTCTTGTGCATATAGGCTTGAAAAGGTTGGAGCAATATGTCAGAAGGTCAAATCCCTGACAAGCGCCGCTGTTTCAAAGGGCAAACGTGTCCTTTTTAGATGATGAATATCTCGGAGGAAACACTTTAGGATATTTACAACAAGAGGACATGCTATTAGTGAATGCCCACTATCTGCACTACAAGCTGGTAAATCCACAGAACCCACTGAAACACTCCGTTAACCTACTAAATCACCGAAACTCAGCCTCTCGCTGCACTTTCCAGAGAAAGGAGTCTCCCCAATAAAGATCAGATGAATTGAGACATTTGGATAAATAGGTTCCAAAAAGGAAGGTCAGTACTACTAATTAAATATTCCCAGCTGTTGAGGAGCTAGCCCATATTCTGCAACCGTATTCTGCCTATCCTTATGGTAGCATATGGGTTCGCTCCCGTTTAGCTGAAATACCTTTGCCCACTAAGGTTCATCCCTAGTAAAACTAAATCCATAACAAAGAAGTTGGTTGCGATCACTGCGTGCTCCTAGCTTCAGCCTCCTGGAGGGATCCCCATTATGGAAAGTTTTTTGCCCACTCGAATATTCTTGGGAGCTCGAGAGGCTCCAAAAGTAAGTTCAGTCAGTATACTAAAAGCGGAACTCTGGGCACTCCCAGTTCACCTAGTTATCATCAAAGTACCCCAGGGGTACCCAATCTTCAATATACCCAAGCAATCCGAACCAATTAATTCACCTAGGTCTTTATTGAAATTCTTGGAAGTGGAAAGCCTTGCTTAGGGAGAAAAGAGCCTCCGACATTTGAAAAAACAATTAAAAATTCATAGATATGGATCCCATGCAATCATCCCAGAGGGTTTTCTGAAAAAGGACAGTGAAATTTGATTATATCCTTCGACATCACGTAACAAGGACGTACACCAAATAATTCCAGGGGTGAAAGACGTTCGTTAGGCTATAAATAGACAATGCCAATCCACGAATGCATTCCCATTTCGTGAATGGCCTTTTGGCAGGTTTTTTCGACGACATTTCGCCATTCCGGCCTTGAGCCCTTTGTATGAGATTTCTACCTGATCGTTGTCATAAAGTGTGAGACTCACCCCGAAGAAACCTTCATTTTGATGCTTGGAGGTGTTGTGAATGATTCGTTGCTGACGATCCAGTCGTACGTGATTGTTATTGCGATCCAATGACACACCTGAAATTATTTCCCATCAAATTTCAACTTCTATCCTACTAGGTACATAAGTGGGAGAGGGCGCGGCAGCTCCTACCCCCTGGGTTCATGTATCAGCTCAAGAAATCCGGCCGAATCAACTAAAGTCCCACTCCACCATCCTTGCAGGACTAGCTGACAGATTCGCCGGGAAGGATGGAACCACTCTGGGAAAACACTTTAGGCCTGCACTTTGGGTAAACTTGCAAGTCATCACGGAGGCTTGCGACACCATTGAAGCCCCATTTCATTGCTGGTGGTCGTATCAAATTTCGGGAGGAACTGGATCAGCTATTTATCCCCCTTTTGCACCCTATTACGCCTGGATAAGTTCTTTTCCACCCATATATGCTATACGATTCTGTCGGTTCAGTCTTTGACCTCCAAGCAAATAGCTTCCGCTCGACAAAAGCGACTATGTGCCTGCGGAAGCCTACTTTGTTGCAAGTGTTTCAGTAAAGCCGAGAGTAAAAAAGTGAGAACAACGATCACCAGCTATTTCAAGAAACCCTTCTCGAGAAGCCTTAGAAAGATACTTCCAAGAATCGTAAGGAGCGTTCAAAAGAAGGCGCCATCGCTGTCAAACCTATCAGAGATGCGCCATGCTGCCACCTTTTTTTATTCAGTGAAGGTTGGTCTCCATGGTCACTCAATCTGGACAACATTTTGTAGAAACGATGTTGTGCTGTTTTCGTCTTCTCGGTGATTCGGTTGTCATCAGTTCGACTCTAAGGAAAAATGAGCCACATTGGCCTGGGTTGAGTCCGTTCCCATGAAGTCTGGTGAAACATAGCGCCTCTAGCCCCAGAACCACCCTGACTTGATCGACTACCAACCAAATAATTGAATACTGCATTGTTCATCGAGCTGAATAGGCCCTTTCGATATTATTAAGTGGTAATACCATCAATTGTAGTAATCGCCCGAACTTGCCAGACGCTCCCATTAGGAACACTCAAATCGCTGTAGCTGACCAACAATTCATAGGTGTGGGAAAATAGGCCATTGACGCTCAAAACAAACAATGAACCTGGCTTGACAACTCAATAACAACAAGTTCAAAATACTTTTCGCTACTGCTGTAGGTAGTTAGTAAGAGTGCCCGCATGCATAAATGGGTCCCATTGTGAGCTCTGGAACCTTCTGGCATTCACGAAAAGTGGGGAGAAGGCATGGAGTAAGGTAGTGGGCATTCAACTGGCAGTGAATCTCCCTTTCTTGCCTCCTACCTCTCCCACTTGGAAATTGCCTAAAAGACCAATGGAAAGTCATAGGTTTTTGAGAAGATGGAGGCTGATGGAGCCAGTATTAGAGAATTTCCAAGGAAAGTTCCCAGGAACTTTTCTTTCGACAGAAAGTAAGAGCCAAATGTGCCGGTTCAAGTGTTTTGGTCTCACGCCGGTATTACATGATCGGATCCCGTTTTACAGCTAGTTCTCCTCCGAAACTTGGAAGCCAAGTGCCCATGATTGCATTCATTTAATGACGCAACCACTCGAGCAGTAATTGCTCATGTAGCAAAAGAGCAAAAAAACACGATACGAACCTTTCTTGAGCGAAGGAAATGAACGGAAATGGGAAGGATGATCGAATTTTGGCTGAGGAGATAGTTGTACGAAGTCTATCAATGGTGATGAGTGGTAGAGGCTGACGAAAATCCCTAACCTAGGTAACTTCCTGCGGCAAACCTATGAACGTCATCACTAGAAACCATTCCGACGGTGTTGCGGGCACCAAAACAGGAGCTTAGCAAGTTTGGTTCGAGCAGTTCTTTGTTAATAGCATTGTATGCTTACTAATCAATCGATAACGATCAATTGCGTCTGTATAGGAACTACTTCTATGTGGTAGAACACGCCTGAGTTTCAATTAGTCTGAACGACTGGCATCCCGACATGTTCTCAATTTTCGGAGCCTGGAGAGATGGGTGCCGACTTAGTTCCATCATGACTTATTACACCGGAAAGTTCATGACCTTTGGGGGCCATGGAGTCCAACTAGCGCACCACAAAATTGACGAAGAACTAAAGTACCATACCTAAAATGTAGCTGAGTAAGTCATTGGTATTCCCAGAAAGGTCAAGTAGGTTTCCAAGGAAGATGAGTGAGTAAAAACGATTAATACATCGCTAGGCTGGAACTGGAAATGATCTTTCCGGACCAAGAACAGTGATTGATTTGAGCAAAAATCTATTAAAAAGGAAGACACCTTTCAGCAGATTTTGACAAAATGCCTTAATTATTGGATTTTGTGTAAATAGGTATCGAATGAAGAAACTGATACCTGTTCGTTGTCGCTTCCCATGTAGGGTAGAGAGGGAGCTCGACCTCGTCCGCATTGCAATGGCTTGACAAAGAGTAGTGCCCTGGCAACACACAAGGCCGGCCACTAGGGGCGGGGCATTCGCTGACCACCAAAGTTATTTTTGGACGATGCGGCAAGCTAATGAGGATAGGTAGGTGAAGAGAAGCCGCTTTCGGTCCTGTTTACGATGAGAACTGAATAATCGAGCTGCTTACACGGAGCTTCTTAAGACTACTATTTTTGGTCCCGTTTTTGGAATAATTGAAGAGGGAAGGAGTTCGTTGTTGTTGACCTTTCATCGAAGTGTCTCACCTGCGACTGGTTCTAGAGGTACTTCAATCCACATTTGTTCTTTGGTCGCAATTATTTGCCAGGAAAATCGATGTTTTTATTTTCTTGCTGTGTAAACAGTGATTAATCTCCTAAGGTTGGGAGGCGGGGTCGCTTGAGCAGAATACGGTCTGTAGGCGAACGGAGTGATGTCTAAGGTCTGATCGTGAAGTGAGTGATCGAAGTGATCCCAAAGAAGACAATGTTCCCTGCATAGACTTTCTGTAGGATAAAGAGCAGCGAAGTTAAGAAAAGTATGGCGTAATGATGTGAAGGTTAGGTTTAGAGGAAGGAAACAGGCGATACCCTTAGGTTAGATGACAGAATACTACAGTAATTCTGAATGGAAATTCGGGTACTGTAGAGTATGCCTTTCAAGGTTGTTTTCATATGACCCAGATCTCATTCAGGCAATCACCATTTCTAGCCCGTGCATTACCGTCATAAGATTTTTCAATAACCGTGACCGCTTTTCGCAACTTTCTCGAACATCCTCAGCCAGCCGAAGGGCTTTCAATATGGGTGTCCCGTATGGTGATTTGTATATGTTAGTTCCAAGTCGCACGGAATCGCAGTGCTACGATTATTGTAAGCGAAAGTCCATGGGTGAAGAGTTTTTGGCCGACGATTTCCACTGCAAAACCATGGGAAGCTCTTTTGGTGAAGTTCAGTGAAACTTCGATAATAACATCAGAGACGAGAGTTGATCAGCTCTGTGATAGCCTTGGAACGACAGCTAAATCACCGCGACTATGACCATTTCCTGATGAGCATGAGCTGTTCGTATCACTCAAATATGACATCGATATGCCTCCCAGCACGCTGATAATGCCACCTCTCACGTTTTGTGCTTTGGCAGTTGGTATCCGCTCCAGTGAGTTTGATCATATCCTGGTGTTCTACAGATTCATTTGCATGGAAGCGCATCTGATGATCATCGAATCAAACGATAGGAGATACTCACAGTTGCATGATGTACTCGCAAATCTTCTCCCATCGCTCGGGTGTTGCTTTTCCGACCGGCACCACACATATGCTAAGAATTCGTGAACTACAAAGAGAAGCCCGAAGTTTGGAGCAGAGAGCAGAGTACAAATGGATAAAGATCAGTCTTCACTGTAGCACGCGCACGTGTAGAGTTTGTTGAACGTTTAGCCTATGAAATACACAGATATTTTTGCAACAGCCCTTATAAAATAGACCGAATGTGCTTGATAAATAGTTCCGTAGTTTAACCGCCACGCGTTTGAACAACAGTGAAATATCAAACAGAAACTTTATTGCTAAACTAGAATGTTACGCGAAAGAACGATAACAAAGAGCCTCTGCTGAGG